AAGCGGCAGGTGAGTGAGCGACCGACATCAGCAAGCTGCAGCAACCTGGGTAGACGCAGGACCCAGGGAGGACGCAACCACCGGGGGGGAAGCAGTGTCTAGCGTAAATAGGCCAGACACCGAGTCCCGGGGAAACGTCGCAAGGGGGGCACCTAAGGCGGTCACGGTACAGACAGCGTACCGCTCGTGACCAGGGAACGTAGTGGTGACGCCGAGGTCCTGAAGACGGGCGACACCAACTAAGTTCCTGGAGAACGAAGGGATGTGAAGGCCTGTAATGGAACCCGAGGGAACCGCCAGACAGGGAAGGGTAGTGGAGCTCCAAGCAACTACAGGACCAGAGGAGGGGTCAGCAAGTGCGACAGCGGCAGGCGCGGCAAGCGACGTGAGGGTGGCGTGGTTGCGGAAGAAGCAGGCTGATGCACCGGAGTCAAGAGTGAAGGACAGCAAAGCCGTAGTGGAAGACGAAGGAGGAGCAAGTGTAGAGCCTAGGCTAGACAAAGCAAGCTGTCATTTGCTTGACGCAGCAGGGGAGTCTGGACTACACACATGTGCTACGCCTAAGCTAGAGAACACAAGGTAATAAGGTCCGGAAACACTCGAAGCGTCAGCATACAAAGAATGCAGGGCAGAACTAATATGATCCATATCTAAGTCAAACACAGGCACACCGTGGCGCAACAGACTGAGCCAGTCAGGGAGGTCCGGGGCTAGACCGAAGCGGCGACGGAAGAGGTCGTCGAGGCGGCGGAAGCAGCGGGCGTTCGGGTGCGGGCGCCGGCAAACCGTGCCATGGAGGGGCCCGGTCTGGAGCTGGTACTGGCAGCTCACAGCACCAAAGCCGCCGGTGGATGCCGAGCTGCGAGGGGCCCCACCACAACCACCACCTCCAACGGCTCCTAGCCACCCCGGCGGGAGGCGAGCCCACGGCTGCTGCTGCTGTTGCGGCGGCTGCTGCTGCTGCTACGGCTGTGACTGCTGCTGCTGCGATTGCGACGACTAATGCTGCTCCTAGATACTAGCTTCAACCCCCTCGTCAGAACCACTGTCCCCGCCACCACCACCAATGCCACCACCACGTCCTCCCTTGGGGCCACAACGGGCCTGGCGCTGGCGCTGCTGCGGGTAAGCCGCAGCTGCTGTCTCAGTGGCAGGGGCAGTCGTGGCAACTGCGGCTGAGACGTCAGCGTACGTGCACAGGGGAGGAGCACAGCCCTGAAAGATGGGGACTGCCGCAACACCGCTCGACTGAGCGATAGTGCGCTGGCGAGTCTCTATCTTAGACAGAGCAGTGACAAAGGCGGTCAGGGTGAGGTCGGCAGGGTACTGACCAAGGAAGTGGTCGCGGGCAGTGGCTAAGCGGTCAGGCAGGCGCATGGCAATGAGGTACAGGGTAGCACAAACTGGTGGAGGGAAGGCAGTGAGCTGGGCGGCAGTGCTAGCAGCGCGGTAGCTTGTTTCTAGTGCACGGAGGTGAGTAGCAAGGTCAGCTACAGTGGGGAAAGTGGAAAGATCAGGGCAGAGCATGGGTAGGATCAAGCGGCCAGCAGAGACAGAAGCGGGTGTGGAGTAGCGCTCAACTACTGCAGCAAGGAAGTGCTTGGCGTTCGTTACAGCGATGAAGTGCGGACGCTCAGAGAGGGGAAGGGCATGACTGATGGCAAGCTGCGCTACAGCATCACGAGAATCCCAGAGAGCGCGAGAGCGTTGCAGTAGCAAAGGCCTCGCTCTCAGCAGTGGTGGGGTGAGGAGGGAGGGGATCAGGCGCAGAGGGGCGGGGAAGCAAGCCATCAACATGCATAGCCAGGGAGTGCCCACCCTGGCGCTGACCTGTCAGGTGCCGGCGGAGGTTGACGAGCCAAACGGCGAAGTCGATCACGTGCCCCTCAGCGTCCAAGCGAAGAACGGCGTCCGCCATCGCACAGTGTGACAGCGGCACAGCGGCTCGGCGGCCCAGCGGCACAGCGATACGGCGGCTCTGCGGCTCGGCGACTCAGCGGCTCGGCGGCACGACGGCTCAAGGTCACGGCGGCTCAGCGGCACAACGACACGGTAGCTCAGCGGCTCGGCGGTAGGGCGCTCCAGTGGGGAAACAGGGCAGGAGGCTGAGGAGGGCCGCAGGCGTGCAGGGCCGGTGGGGCGAGAAGGGCCGGCGAAGCGCTAGTGGCTAGGAGAGCGCGTCAGGAGCCGGGGAGGTGACAGATGGGCGCACGGCTAGGAGCGACGGGCCGGCTAGGGCTCAAGGGGCGGGCTACTACTCGAGAAGCCAGCGAGGGCGCGAGGAGCCAGCTAGGGCGCGAGGGGCCGTCGAGGGTGCTAGGGGCCAGCTAGGGCGCAAGGGGCCAGCGAGGGCGCGAGGGGCCAGCTAGGGCGCAAGGGGCCAGCGACAGCGCGAGGGGCCAGTGAGGGCGCGAGGGGCCAGCGTGGGCGCGAGGGGCCAGCTAGGGCGCGAGGGGCCAGCGTGGGCGCGAGGGGCCAGCTAGGGCGCAAGGAGCCGACTAGGGCGTAAGGGGCACGCTAAGGCGCAAGGGGCCAGCTAGGGCGCAAGGGGCCGACCAGGGCGCGAGGCACCCGCTAAGGCGCGAGGGGCCGGCTTGGGCGCGAGGGGCCGGTAGGGGCGTGAGGGGCCGGCTATAGCGCGAGGGGCCGGCTACGGCGCGAGGGGCCGGCTAGGGCGCGAGGGGCCGGTTGGGGCACGAGGGGCCGGCTACAGCGTGAGGGGCCAGCTACGGAGCGAGGGGCCAGCGAGGGCGCGAGGGGCTGGAGACGGCGCGAGGGGCCGACGAGGGCGCTAGGGATCCGCAAAGGTGCGCGGAGCCGGCGACGGCGCGAGGGGCCGACTAGGGCGCGAGCGGCCCGCTAAGGCGCGAGGAGCTGGCTACGGAGCGAGGGGCCGGCGAGGGCGCGAGGGGCTGGCGAGGGCGCTAGGGGCTAGCGAGGCGGAAGCGGGTGGGTGGACCTACCTACTCATGATACCATGTTAACGTGAATGAATAATTCAACACAAGTGGAACAAGGGAGATATATGTGTTCTGGTTGTACCCTCTAACAACATACAACTATCTAGCTGATAACTTCTACATAGCAATATATGTATAAGTTGACATCCTGATGGATCAGGATGCTTCAAAACCAATCTAGGGCCCTGCACCTAACTCTCATCCTAAAAATCAAGAATTCGGGATAAAACATCATGAAATCTAAGGCCCTGTTCAGCTCCCTCGAAGGTATCAACTGATGGCTACCAGGTACTACAACCCATCTATTCCAGTCAAGCATACCGATACATAATTGTAATATTTTGACAGGTGTTGCAAGAGACTACATATAGAATCTGCTAACACGAGTACTTAACCAAGGATCTTTGTTGGAATGGTAGACTAGTAAGACAGCGGAAGTCTTATAAGAGTGAACCTGAGCACATGAAGTTGTGGGTAGTCGAATGTTGAATAACCTGAGCACATAATTCTGTGGAAAGTCAAGGTTAATAATAGAAAGGCATTACAAGGATTTATAGCTCTAGGGAAAGTATATATTCGCTGATGTACCTGTTCGTCATTATCGCGCTATGCGACCTATTCGTCATACTATAGAGTCGCGACTGTTCACGTGATTGAAACGACTTGTTACGCCTAATCGCGTAACTGAAGCGATAGGCTAACGTAATTCCAAGAGGCACGATGCTTTGCTGACATCAGCACTCGGACCTGTTTCCTTACCGAGAAACTCGATACTGCTAACTACACTGAAAAACGGAACTTGCAGGAATGCAAAACTTCATTCATCGCAACACTCCCCTTCATTCCTGGAAGTTCGATGTAGTCACGTCGTTGTTGGAGTCCGGCGAATGAAATCTGCAATTCGGAATCTTGTGACGTGTAAACTTCATGTGCTGTAAGTAGTCGGCGGTCATTCCATTGGTCAAATGGTAGACCTATCGCGTTCTTCCGTTGTTGATGACGAATTTTGGCTTTGACGAAGTGTGTGTAGATCCTCCTTCCCCCCCTCACTTCGGCAGAGAAAAAATGAGTCGGGTTGAAAGTGGTTGGGGTTGCGCCAATGAACGTGGCAGGGCCGAAGGTGATGAATGCAAAACCACGAGAGTGTTGCACGTGGTGGAGAGGAGCCTCGACATCATTTGGAGGCTTGACAAAGGACCGTGAATTGACGGGCAGATCTGATGGTGCAGTTTCGGGTAGAGAATTTTGTTGAGTCAGCAGTGCATGCAGTTGCTCACGTAGCTCGTGTAGGGTACTTTTTAACCCTTCTACTTCATTGCATTGTTGAACGCGATGACGAGGGGTTTGATAGCAGTTGATGCCCAGGCCTTGCACGTAGTCGTTGGAGGTCGTAGTGTGGTAAGCGGCTTCTCTGTAGTATAGGAAAGTCTGCACCGGGGTACTGAGCTCGCTTGCTGCTATGGCCAGCCAAGCAAGGAGTAAGAGTATGAAATATGAAGGTAGTAAAAACCTTGAGGGTGCATAACCTTTCTCTTGAAGATTGGTAGTTGAAGAATAGTCAGAATTCTTCTCGAGAGTAGTTGTAGCGTCGAAGAATAATTCAGGAGCGAGTTGCAGTTTTCCTCATGTTCTTGACTAATATCTTCCTTGATATTAACGGCAGGTGTGTCGTCAAGGATGTCAGTGGTGCTGCTACTCAGATGTTCTTCGTCGATGGTGCTGAAGTCCATCGGTGGAACGGTCACCAAAGCGGCTGCTGCGATGATGGATGGAGATTGAAGAAGAGCGGCATCTTCAGAAGGTTTTGCTGCCTTGAAGCGTAAAACAAATACGCCATTTTTTGTTGCTGCTCTTCCGATGTACGTATTGTCCACATCATGGATTAACTCCTGCTCTTGTGTCGGGCAGTTTCCGACTGTGCGGATTTTCTTCTTCAAGAGTTGGTTAGTTGACACTAAAGTGAAGCCAAGATTGTCGACGATTAAAACATTGGTAAGGCGTAAGGAATTTCCCGTGCCGATTGATGTCAAAACTTGCAGGAATGCAAAGCTTCATTTATCACAACAACAATTCGGGATAAAACATCCTGAAATCGCCCTGTTCAGCTCCCTCAGAGGTATCAACTGATGGCTACCAGGTACTACAACCCATCTATTCCAGTCAAGCATACCGGTACATAACAAGCCACTTCCATCAAGAAGGGCCTGAAAACACTTCCACAATAACCAACTAGCATGTGTCATGCACAGGCATCAAGGTATTCAAAGAAACAGGTGGCAAAACTGTGGAAACCCTAGCAGGGCATGTAGCAGGACGTGCTGCTGCATAACTTCCTGCTGGGCTGATCCGCTGAACAGCTCCCCTGGTAAATATCTCTGTAGCAAGGCACCTTTCTTGCAATACCCCTTGAGTTGCTACTGGGGAAGGCACACCGGCGGCTCCCTCACTCAACTGCCGTGCAGGAATATTCTGGAGTTCTCCAAGAAACTCACCCTTGGTCCCCACAGCTCCTGATATCCACCATTGTTTCTCCTGCTTCCGAGCTGTCTTGATACCGTCTCCAGCTTCTCCCACGACTTCCTCATTCACATTTGGTGCAAGGAGGTTCTGCAGTTGAGCTTCAAGGGTTCCCTTGGTCCCCACAGCCCCTGTCTTCCACCAGCTCCTCTCCGGCCTTTCAGCAGTCTTTATACAATCGGTGGTGATCTGGTCTCTGCCCTCGAGTCCTCCCAAAAATTGCAGAGGTTCCTTGGCCGTATCCCCTGCCTTCTGTGCCGCCACAAAAATCTGCCCCTCGGGTATCCTCGGCACCTTGTCAAGCTGATCTCCTCGGAATTCGGCACCTTGTACGAGTGGTGAGCTTCGCACACGAATATAAGGAGAAGCTTCTCCACGCAAAAGAGGTGTAGCTGGACCCAGCTCTGCTGCTCCATTCCTTGACGACCCTGAAAAAGACGGCAGCTGCTGCATTGCCGGATTGAGTGACAAGGGTGCCCTCTGGTTCCTGAAGTGTTGAGCTCTCCACGCCTCAAAGGTCCGCCACCCATGCAAAGCTGGCTGCTGCTGTAACCCTTGTGCCACAGCTTCTCGCGCATTCTCTCCCGCATGCTCTCCCGCATGCGCACCTGCACACTCTCCTGCACGCAACACTGTTTGCTGCTGCTGCTGCAGAGCTTCAGCGACACTTTCTGCTGCTCCATTCCCTGCAATTCCCAGTGAATGTGCGCCTCTGCTGCTCTCCTCTGCAAGTTGCATAACAGTTAGACCTTTCCACTCTCGTGTCTCAGTCAACCCTTGAGCTGACTGGAAAATCTCTTGCCACTGCAACACCCTGGCACCGTCTTCTCTAGCTCCCTTGCTTTTCATGAAGTCTCTCACAGCACCATCCCTTCCTGCGGAATTGCTCCCACCAGCCGTAAAGCCACCCACAACTGGTGCAACTTCTTCTTCTCCTTCTCCTCCTCCTCCTCCTCCTCCTCCCACAAAGAAGCCCCTCGTTCTAGCTCCCCTTGCAGCAGCTGCACTGTCACTCCCTGGTGCAATGTCCCCAGCGCCAACCCGATTGACTTCAACTAAACACCTGTCAGTGCGCTGTTGCACATTTTTTCTTATCAAGTCTACGCCTAGATTCCTATAACTAAGTCCGCACTTCCCAGCACTAACTCCTGCTTCCAGGGGGGACTCTATTCCTGCCTCAGTTTTTCCATTTTGTGTTCTGTCTTTTCTGGTACTAGCCAAGCCACCACGCTTAAAGTCTCCGTGAAACAGTACCGCTGCTCCATTTCTCCCTCTCTCCAGCCATCCTCCAGTTCCGAATCCCCCCAACCAGCCGTCAGCAACATCCCTCCCACATCCCAGTAGCCTCTCCTCGTGCCACGCATCATACGCACGCTCCCGCTTTCTTTTCACACTGCCCCCAACTGACTCCAAACTACCCTGAGAACCAGTTCCTGTCTCCCGCACCTGTCTCATCTGACCAGTTTCAAACCCTCTAATAGCGGCTCCTTCACAGTCTACTGGAACAGTCCTACTCAGTATCCTCGTCTTCCCCCCTACGTCCTCACATGCCCCTCTATTTCCCAGCCCCTCACAGCCATATCTCTCATTCCTCGTATCCTCCCTATTCTCCTCCCCTACCTCAGCTGCATCAGGGGCTGTCTCAATTGGACTCTCGACAGTACGCTCAGCTGCTCCGCCAGTTCGAGGCTCTGCTGCATCGCCCGCAGAGGTAGCTGCTGTTCCAGCCATTTTGTAGGCTGCTGCATTAGGCGTCGTCTCTAATTCCCTCTTGACGGTACGTTCACCTGCACGGCCAAATCTGCGAACGGCTGCTTCACCCCTGGAGATAGCTGGAGTTCCAGCCAGTGCATTAGCTGCTGCATCAGGTGTCGTCTCATATGTACTCTTGATCGTACGTTCAGCTGCAGCGCCAGCTGCAGGAGCTCCTGCCTTGTCCGCAAAGGTACCTGTTGCTTCAGATGAGCCAACAGCTACATCAGGTGTTGTCTCAAACTGACTGTTGACTATACGCTCACAAGCACCACCAGCTGCAGGAGCTGCTGTTACACCCACAGAGGTAACTGCTGCTCCATCCAAAGAATTAGCTGCACCAAGTGTTGCCTTAAATGGACTCTTGACTTGACGCTCAGCTGCACCGCTAGCTGTAGGATCTGCTGCCACACCCCCAAAGGCAGCTGCAGACCCTCCAGCCACTGCAGAGGCTGCTGCAGCAGCTGCTACCCTTGCCGCTGCACCAGCTGCAGCAGCAAATTTCGCGCTCGGCATTGTCTGAGCCCAAAGCATGCTAGCGGTGACCTGAGAAGCTGTGCTGGTAACAGCTAGGACTCGTGGTTCTACCCCGGGAAAGTCGTGCTGCCACCACGGCGACCGAAAGCTCGCAGCAGCGCTGCAGTCTCTCCCTGTCTTGGTTCGTTCATCCCGAGCTGCTGCCCCTGCTGCTGCCCCTGCTGCTGCCCCTGCTGCTTCCCCTGCTGCTGCCCCTGCTGCTGCCCCTGCTGCTGCCCCTGCTGCTGCCCCTGCTGCTGCCCCTGCTGCTGCCCCTGCTGCTGCCCCTGCTGCTGCCCCTGCTGCTTCCCTTGCCACAGCACTTGCTGCTGCCCGTGCTGCTGCCCCCTGCTCTACTAGAGCACTAAACACGGGGTTATTCGGCCAACCGGAAGGTATTTGACGCTGCACCAGCTGCGACAGTCCCTGGAAACTCTCCGCAGCACGTCCCCTCCATGCCTGCACTTGTCCCAGCGACTGTTTTTGAGCCTGCTTCTGCTCTATTATCGATACCCTCACCTGTTCCACTCCTTGTACCCGCCTCTGGGCTTCTGTCAACCCTTGGAACCCCTTAGCAGCAAAATCCCTCCATGCCAGAGACTGTAGCAGAGACTGTTCGCGTGCATGCTTCTGCTCCACTGCCAGAACCTTCACCTGGCCCAGTCCTTGTATCCACCTCTGATCGTCTGTACGTTCCGGGTCCGATCGTTGCACGACACTTGGGACACGGCCTCGCATCTGTTCCCGCATCTCTGGCTGCGCCTCTGCTCGCACCTCTTCATACACCTCCAGCTGCTTCTCAACTGTCCGGGACGAGGCCGTGTCACTTTGAAGAGCGGCATCAATCTCACTTCCAGAGAAAGCCGCAGCTGTCGGCATGCTCTGAGGAGCCTCAACACGCAATCCCTGTAGCCGCTTGTGCTGAGGCGAGTCAGAGATTGAAGCCTTGAGGGGAATGGCTCGAATCCCCTCAGCACACAATCCCCGCACGGCTGTGCTTTGCGGAACCTCAGCACACAACCCCTTCAGCCGCATGTGTTGAGGCGAGTCAGAGGAAGACGCCCTCAGAAGCATGACTTGAGACGCCTTAGCCGACGTTTCTTGCAGCCGCCTATGTTGAGGCGAGCCAGCAGACGAGGCCTGCATGGGCGTGTCTTGAATCCCCTCAGCACACAACCCCGGCACAGCCCTGCTCTGCGGCGCCTCAGCAGACCATCTCTGCTGCCGCTTGTGCTGAGGCGAGTCAGCTGATGAGGGCCGAAGGGGCGTGACTTGACCCCCCTCAGCACAAGAACCCTGCAGTTGAGGCGAGTCAGCAGAAGAGGGCCGAAGGGGGGGGTCTTGAAACCCCTCAGCAACCAAACCCTGCAGCAGCATGTGTTGAGACGAGTCATCAAGAGAGGCCTGCAAGGGAGTGTCTTGACTCCCCTCAACACACCATGGCTGCAGCGGGATTCGCCGTCTGCGGCGGTGGATGGCAGGAGGAGGGTGGTTGTGGCTGTCCTCATAGGTCACCTTGGTGCTGGGAGACCCCGAGGTGAACTGCTGCTGCGCGTCAAAGTCGATGTGCTTACGCGCCGGGCAGGGAGGGCAGCCGGACAGGCTGTAGCAGGGAAGGCTGGAGATGCAGCGGTAGTATGCTCTGAAGGGGGGCGTGGGGGGGGGAGGGGGTGTGGGGAGAAGGGAGGACGAATTGGTGAGGAAGGGAAATGGAAACTATCTATGCACCAGTGCAAAGTCGGACTTTCCGCCTGCTCGTAGATCCCAAGGAGAACTGCTGCTGCGCGTCAAAGTCGATGTGCTTGCGCACCGGGCAGAGAGGGCAGCCGGACAGGCTGTAGCAGGGAAGGCTGGAGATGCAGCGGTAGCTTGCTCTAGGGGGGAAGGAAAAGGGGGGGAGGGTGGGTGGGAGAGGAGGGCGGGAAAGAGATAGGGAAGAGAAGGAAGAAGCATGAGACATCAGACCACCGTGGTGCTGGAGATCCCGAGGAGAACTGCTGCTGCGCGCCAAAGTCGATGTGTTGCGCGGCGGGCAGCGAGGGGACTGAGAGAGGCTGTAGCAGGGAAGGCTGGAGATGCAGCGGTAGTATGCTCTGAAGGTCGGGGGGTGGGGGGGGATGGGGAGCAATTAGGGACGAGGGAGGGGGAGAAGGGAAGGTGAATCGGAGGGGAACGAAAATGGGGAATTGCTCTGCACCTGGAAAATCTGTCTTTCCGCCTCGCTCAAACACTCACTCAGAAATCTCACTAAGTAAAGGACCTTGAAAGAAACCAGAAAGGGGCAAAAGGGACAAGGTAGAGCAAGGTGAGCAAGAGGGAGTGAGAAAGAGAGCGAGAGAATGATAGTTGGATATTGTCAGAGGAAAGAAAGAGGTGGAGGAGAGGTGACTCTTTAAAAAGGTGAGTAAAAGGACACATGGACGGATGATGTAACATTTGTTGAATTGATGGATTGATATACAGCTTGGAAAGCTTAAGGACAGCCTTTTGACAGAAGTATTCAAGAAAACGGTCTAAACAGTGCTAGACAAATATGACATAGAGAATCATATATCACAGCAACAGCTAGCTTCAACGAGAGGTTAAGAGAGTGATATAGGTATATCTATATGTATATATATTATATGTATATATATTAATGAGTTGACGAAGTCACATCAGAGAGAAGTGGCTCGACAGAGGGCCAGACAAAGGGAGGGGAGGGGACGGGGGGAGAAGGGGAGGGGGGAGAAGGAGGGGGAAGGGAGGGAGAGAGAGGGAAGGGATGTGTTTGCATATCGGTAGCTCCACTAGCTCCCCTCTTCTTTCTTCCGTCAGGTAACACTGTATAAAAGGAAACGAATCCCAGAAATAGCTGATACTGAGTGTGAGTAGTTGGGGAGCTCTGCATCGATAAGAGTCTGCTTAATTGATATGCTGTCAGCTTGACATACCATTTGAGAGAGCAATAGAGCAACGGGGGAGAGATGGATGATACATGCACAAGTGAGTGAACGATAGCGGGAGGAGGCTGGGAGGGGGCGTGGAGGGGGGAGGCCGTGGAGGGGGAGGGGGAAGGAGGAAGAAGGATAAAAAATCGTCTGGAAGTTGGGTAGAACATTTCTGGACCAGCTCGGCAAACCGACCTTCTGTGACCCGCACTTTTCAGAAGCTTGGAGCCATACTTCAACCACTGAAAACCATCCGAATTTGCGAACTTAGAGATGCTGTTAAACTCGAGAGAAATATCAGTGAACCAGATGTTGTCTGACATTTTTTAGATCTTTCAAAATTCTAAGAAAATTTGCTGCTCGATCTGACTGTTTTTTCCGGCTTCAATGCGCGTCATCCTGTATACTACATGACACTGAGTTGGTATCCACTTTTTTCGGCCGAAAGGCGAAACTTCGTGGATTAGGCGGCTCCTTAGCTTGAGCGCACGCAGCACAATGCACAGAGGGTCTGTGTGCTAAACTTCTGTTGGTAAACCATGCCTGGTGAAGTGTGTTCTCTTGACCCAATGACTACTTGGGAGGAGTGACGAAACCCCAAAGATGGCTGGTGGGACGAACGAAACCCCAAACCAGAGGTGGCCTCAAAACCGCCTAATGAATGCTCCACGCTTTTTGGGTAGCTACAAAATTACTCTTCTAGTTTGTGTCACATGTTTGTTTACTACTCTGACGTACGGTTTCACTTAAAAACCCGCCAACCGGATTGTCCATGAACGGGGGTTTGTTAAATAATTGAAGCGGTGTAGCGAACTTCTTGCCAAGGGAGTGGAGGTTGGCGAAAACCGTTTGGGGTTCGTTATCCAACCAGAATCTCCCCCCTTCGTTCAACTGCTTAACTTTTGGACCTTCCAAAATCAGGGTTTTAAAGATTTTCTTCCTTCCAGCCCTTACTCTGGTCTCGTAATACAACCAGTACATTTTTCATAGATCACCCGCAAGATTATACGCCAACTTTGTGTTGTGTTGTAGTAAAAAAACTTCTGATTTTCGAGCGCGTAGTAAGGGGAGCGAGTGAAACTACCCAAATCTGGAACGTCGAGGTGGTGCATGCAGCAGAAACGAGGGCGGGTCTTCTGTCGCTGCTGGTGACCTCTCAAACCCCAATGGCGCGCGACGTCATTATGGTTTCCAGGAAACGAGGTGGGAGGAAGTGGACTGGGGGCAATCTGCCAATTCTGGACTGTACAGAGATGCTGCCAGCAGGGGCGGTGGGTCTTGGCACCAGAGACTGACTCTGAGCCAGAATCAATCTCCGCCGCTCAAAAGCGCGACTCCCCACGCAGCCTGCTGATGGATTAGCTCCTAGCTTCGAGAAAGACGGTGGGAGTCTGGTTCAAGTCATCCTTTCTGTCACGCTGGCCCAGCCGAGAATATTTGTTTCTGTACACCCTACATCTCGTTTGTCTCAAATCACGTAGCATAAAAAAGTGGACAGTCATTGCCAAGATCGACATCTTATCACATGGAAAAATGGAATTTCACATTGCCCCGGACTAAATATGGCTTAGTGTGGGAAAAATCACAGAGCTTAACGGGTTGAGCTGCTGATTCCAGAAGCTCCTGGTCGCGTGAACCCTCCATTCGGAACATTCTGTTTCTTTCTGTCGAGAGTTGACGGTTCGCGGGTCTTTCAGTCTGTTTCGATCCCTTCCACTGATTTTTTTTTTTTTTTTTTTTTTTGGTATTTTGAACACCTCACTGGCTCCCCTCAACGTGGGATCAAACACTCGTCACTCCAGAATACACCCCTACTTCTTCGAGGGCTCAGGAAATAGTGCTGGCGGTCGGCTCCGGGGCGGTAACGAATACGGCAAATCAGAATGGGAACGGACAAAACTCCCCAGCTGAGAATCACGGAACATATCCCTCAACTGGCTCCGAAGCACAAGAAAAACATTTGTCATACACGTATTCGGACTCAGACTTCGGGATACTGTACATACATTGGGGTTGACGTACGGTTTTCATATGTAAGACCAGTCACTCTGAGCTGTACAAGGGCTGGGCAGGGTGATAATCGAAGCTGACCGACGTTTGGCATGAAACATCAACAAGGAGGATCACCGAAGGACGCGGTTCCGCGTGCTTGCAGTACTACTGTTAACCATTGATGACAAATCAAATGGAGGGGTGAGAGGGAGTGGGAAAGGTGCTCTGTCGCACCCTTGTCCAATTAAAAGGGGAAGGGGGGCGGGGAAAAGGCCACCAAAAGGTACATTACGGTACTGGTTTTAGTACACTTGCCCTCCAAATGTCAGAAAGTACTGTCCAGGAAATAATTTTCAAAGAGCCACAATGTTATGAATTAATCGGAGTAATAACATGTAGTGTAATAAATGAGTCGTTATTCAAGAGTGTCGATACAAATGAGGGCCTAGAAATTCATAGGCACGAATAGAGCTAGCCGAGAACCACACGAATATGTTGGGGCAGTTCGGTTGGCGAAAGCTACGGAAGCTCCATGCGTCGAGGTTTGGGTTCACTAAGTGGTTCCGGGCCGAAGAAGTTGGCCGAGCCTGGACTTCCGAGAGTCGAGGGTGTACGCGCTATAGTCAACCCCTAGAATGAAAAGGGATTTTCCTTACACAGACTCCCCTTCCAGGCCAAAACTACCCACATCCGAGACACGTTGTCTGTATCAATAGTCCCGAACAACCTTGTGATCGCCGAGTGTAGCTGCGGGGACCCAGAGGTCGTCTTCACTTGTATGATCAACCCAATGTACGAGGAAATCAACGGTTGTGGTGTCTCGACGACCACGCACGCGATGAGCGAGAATCTTGGCCGGTTCTGTAGTTGGCCCAGACACTGGGTTCACCGAAGGATTTAAATGTTGACGGTCGAGATTAGTAGCACTCGGGACGAACGGTCGCAGGAGACTGACGTGGAACGAATCATGGATTCGCCAGTCAGCAGGCAGTAGCAGCTAAGCAGTGACGGGTTCACCATTCGAATAATGCGAAGTGGTCCGCAAAATCTTGGTCGTAATTTATTCGAGAGGGGAATTCCCAAATTCCTTGTGTCGAGTAGGACCATTAGCCCAGGGGCAAGTGTTAAGTCTCGGCGCCGTCAATTAGCTTGCTACTTAACTGTCTGATTGGCTTTTAGAATGGCATCGACGGCTTTTTGCTGAGACTGTCGGATATTTTCAACGAACTGTTGAGATCTGGTTGTCGCGCTTTCTATCGGTGTCGATAGAGGTGTTGCCGGATCTATCCCGTGATTAAGGACGAACGACGACTCAGTGGTCGTGGCTGATAGGGCGTTGTTGTACGCAAGCTCGATCAACGAATATGCATCCTCCCATTGAGCCGTGTCTGTGCATGTCGTGCGAGTCAGCTGCTTCATCCTCTGATTGGTGCGCTCAATTTGGCCGTCCGATCGGGGGTGGTAAGCTGTAAAAAGATGCAGACGTGTGCCGTACTGATGTCATGTTTTTGTCCATAAGTTGCTCGTAAAGCGTGGGTTGCGATCGCCGATGATTGGCGAGGGGATGCCGTATAGCCGCACGATATTCGTAGGGAACAATTTCGTTGTCTACTCGGCGGTTATAACAAGTTTAAGCCTCTTTACGGCAGCCTGCTGCTCCTCCCCCTACTAAAAAAATATGCCCTTCTTCAGGAGATCCGTGAGAGGAAAAGTTACCCCCGCCATGTTCGGAATGAACCGGCGAACGTAATTTACGAACCCGATAAAACTTTGAAGTCCGCGGATTCGTGGAGATTTTGTGGCCTAAAAACTTTTTAGGTGGATGGAGATTTTAGGTCCATCAATATTTTTTAGGTCAATTTTTACGACGTCGATGGAGATTTCGTGGCCTAAAAACTCTAGTTTGTGTTTTAAAAACTGGCATGAGGCGATTATGCTGTAGGAGGGAGAACACGGCTACCAAATCCTTCAAATGCTGGTCCCGGGTAGTGCTGTAGACCAGGATGTCGTCGAGGTATACGATGACTCACTTATTCATCAGTGGCCGGGAAAAAATCATTCATGGTTAACAGGAATGTCGAAGGCGTGCTTGTTAAGTCGAATGGCATAACTGTATACTCGTAACTTCCGTACTGGGTCCGCGACGCCGTCTTGTAGCAGTCAGCTTCGTCCACACGAATCTGGTGGTAATCGCCTTGCAGGTCAATTTTGTAGAAGAACCGAGCTCCACGAAGTGGGTCGATGAGTTCGTCGGCACGCGGACTTGGATAACGAGACTTGATGATAACATGATTCAAGGTACGGTAGTCGGTACGCATGCGTAATCTACCGTCTTTCTTTGGAGTGAACAGGATCGGAGCAGCGAACGGAGATGTGCTGGGGTGGACGAAACCTTTCTGAAGCAGATAGTCCAGCTGGCGTCGAAGTTCATCCAAATCCGGCTGTGTGAGCCACCACGAGGTCCGAACAGTCACTTGCGCGCTAGGCTCGAGCTCGATTTTGTGGTCATGCGAGTGCTGAGGTGGCAGTCCAGCGAAGAGATCATCCACAAAAATATCAGAGTGCTTCCAAATAATGGCTGCCAAATCATGCGGGACATCTACGCAAAGTTTGTTGATGTTTGTCGTTTGCCGTAGATGCGATCCATCCGACGGCACACCTGCGCTCCGTGAATCATCGCCCTCTTAATAGTCCCAGCGCTAACTGTCAACATGGCTGAGTCTTGACTGCTCCACTCGGGAAGTCGTCGCCACTCGCCACCCCACTTGATGCGACAATCGCCCGTTAACGCCAATCGATGCTCAGGTTATATTCGCGTAGCCAATAGCGCCCCGGCAGCATGTCGCATCCATCTAGGGTCGTTGCCGGCATCTTCATCGTGAAGCTGAAATTCTTGCCACAGGTGACTAGCACGTAAGGCACGAGCTCAATGGGGTGCCGTCAACCAACCTCGCGTCAATTTCTGGCATGCAGCGCTCCAGCTGCAATCAAAATTTCTTCGCTTTTGTCACATCCATCAGACTGCGGCTCACCCCGCCATCAACAAATATTTTGATTCAAGTGTTGCCAACTCTCCATTCAACCAGCACAAAGTGATCAACCGGTTCACAATAATCGGCCAGGAATGGTCGATAGCCCAAATCGGCACAATAATCTGGTGGGGGTGGTGGCGTTTGGGCGACGCAGTCAAGTCAGTAGGCGGCCCATCAGCTACAAACTGTTTCCATTTCCCGACTGCCCCGCGTCCTTAGTTAAGTTCTTCTTTAGCTCCAGTCAGTCCTTCACTATGTGGCCCGACTGGTTGTAGTTGAAATAGCATCCGTGAAAAACCCGGACTGCAAATACATCCACGCCGTTGATTGATGTGTGTTGGGGCTGGCCTCGAAAACGGTTTCCCTCCCGGAAACCCACCCTCGCTAGTCCACGTCTCGCGTCTAGTGCATCTGCGATTCGGACAATTTCGTTAGAGGTCGCCGGGGCTCGCAGGACGATCTCTTGCTAAATCTCTGGCTTGAGACCACCCACGTAGCGATCGATTTTTCATCGTCGTTGAGGCTGCCAATTTGAT